CTGTGTGTATCTGGCTTTGTTGAGTTTTTAAAGCTCAGTATTTCCTGGAGATGGGTTGGCTTCACCAGTTTGCCTGGTGGGATGCTGCAGACCACTGGCTCCATCTAGTTTGTGCAGTTAATGGAGGTTCAGACCAGCCCAGGTTTGCTTTGAATCCCTGTGGAGGAAGTTGTTTGTCTCGAAAATGTAAGGTAAATCCCTCTGAAAATGGGTTTTTATTTACAACAGAAGAGGCAGAAACCACCCCTCCGCCCAGTGCCTGGGCTATATTTAGGTATGATGCACAGAGCTCGCCTGGCCCCTTTATGCACTGGTGTTATAAATAAATAATAATATTTTTTTTAAAAAGCGCAAGCAGCTCCTTTTAATAAGTAAAACTCAGAGAAGGAGTACACAGTTCAAATCTGTGCAGCAAAGCAGCAGGAAAAAAAAAATTTGTGGCTTTTGGCCCGTGAATTATGCTCATGGCATCACCTGCGGCGGCCCAGCGACATCCCTGGTGTCACCCCCTGGCCTCGGGGACTGTGGCTCTCCTGCCCTGCTCCCCACCTCCCCGCCTCAGTTTCTCTACCTGTAAAAAGATAATTGCCTCCTTTATTAATCCCTTTGAGATCTCCTGATGAAAGCTCTGGGTGAGAGGTTGGCCTTGGATTATTAAGCGCATTAAGTGCTTGCGATGATTGTAACAGGGATTAATTTGGCTAGGTGGCTTATTTAGGTTTGCCTTTAACAGCCCAACTTGTAATCAAAGGTGTTGCAAAGCCAGTGAGTTAATGCTGACCTGTAACACTTCACTTCCTGACTCTCGATATGCCATTAACCATAACTTGGCTTTTAATTAAAGCTCAGTTTTGTAGGCGTCCAAGAAACGGGGATGTGCTCGGCCCCACGTTGCTGATTCACTAGAGGGTGTAAGGAAGGAGGAGGCACGGAGCTCGGGTCATTCTGCTTTGCAGCGTTGCTATCCCCAGCTCTCTCTGCATCCCTGTATACGGCCCCATCTCGAGGATGCTGCCTTTCCTTTTTATTTTTGCAAGCTGTTGTATCATTAAATAAATACTCTCCAGTTCCCTCCGTGCTGAAGACTGGGAAAATCAGATTATTTCTCCTTTGCTTTAGTCAAAGCTGTTTGCAATCTCTCTCTCTCAATGTATTTGCAATATATTCTATGTACAATATATAATATATATTGCAAAGAAATGTGCATGCACGTATATATTTTTACTTTTTTTTAATGTGCACTTAGAGGATTTTCCTCCACCCAACCCTTGGGACTCCTGGAGGGCTGAACCAGGCCTTTATCTTCCCACTCTTTTCCCAGGTTTATTTTTCTTCGGCAAACTTCTTTCTTCTGTCCTGAGTGCTGCTGGCTTGCTCCTTTCCCTGCCCTCCATGTTTCGTGGTTCTCTCCCTGTGTTTTCTCACTCTACGAGGACACACAGACCTCATGGACCCAGTCACAGTCAGAGACCTCGGGGAGATGGGGCATTGGGCAGGTGCCTGCCCAAATTCCCCACTACTTCATCTCTGCCATCATGGCAGGTTCGTTTTATAGACGAAGAGCAAGTCAGCATCTTCCCCTGACAACCCAACAACCTCATGCTGCAGAGAGGGTCCCATCCAGCCCTGGGGAAATCCTCCCCTCTGCAAGGCTTTTGTGGTACCAAGCCCCTTTCCTCCAGGCAGCTCGTGCCCCCCATCCCGGGGCCAGTGAGTGCCCCAGGAGGGGCATCTGCCTGCTCTGAAATGCCTTGGCCATGAAGAGAGCAACAGGGAGGCTTTTGTTCTACACCAGAAACTTTTCATCCTTCTTTATGGCTCATTTTTTATTTCTTTTGGCTGTGCTCTCGCAAATCTGAAGCAGATTAAAATACAGTTCCTCCCCCCTCCACTCCCCTAAAAAAAAAAACCAAACCCAACCCCAAAGCTTGGCTGCTTAAAATCATCAGATTTCAGTGAAGTCTTTTAAAGTTAACAGTTTCCTGGATCCTGTGCAGGCTAACTTATTTTTTCCCTCTAACCTTCCTGTTTTTTGCTGTAACTTTTCTCAGCTGTTGCAGCAGGAGGGAGGGAAGGACCAGGGTAGCTCCGATGTGGAGAAGGTTATTTCATGAGGCGGTTGGATGAATCTGGTGTGGGACTCGTTGGACTTGCACCGTAGGGCACCAAAGGGTTGTCCCTGGGAGGCTGAGCCCCCACAGTATGGCCAGCAGGTAGGTCACGACTGCGTTGGTGACGTTCTTTAGGGGCAAAATATTAGGGCAGTGGTACTGTTGGAAGAAGAGAGGAGGATGCTGTGGGTGGGACAGAGCGCCTTTTCTACCGACCGTTTGTTTGCTGGGGGCTGTGATGGTTTATAGCTGTGACTGTGGTCATGGGGACTAGTGGAAGAGCTGCATGGCTTGGCTGGACACGACTGTGAGGAGCCTTTCTGGCTTGATGAGGTTTGCTGCCCTAAACCCAGCCTGGGTCCTCCTTACCCACCGCCTCTGCCTTTGTGCTCGCTCCGCTGCAGCATCCTCTGGTGGCAGAGCTGAACTGAAGCCCCCAGCTCTGGTAAGAACATCAAAAGTTGAAGGAGTTGTAAAGGAAAGAAAAATAAGTCTGGTGCTGGTTGGTTTTGTTGCCTCTTCTTCGAGAGTGATCTCTCCTTCCTTGCAAAAAATCACCTGAAGCTTTTCCCAGGAGGATGTTTGATTTCTCTTGGGTGGTTGAGGAGCTGGAGCCGGCCAACTTTGGCCAACATCAGCGATCATCAATACAAACCCAAGGGCAAGCAGGGACAGCCAGAGCCTCATCCTCCAGCTGAAACATGCTCTGTCGCCTGAGCGTGACCAGGGGGAGAGCCCTTGAACCGTCTAAAATCCCTTTGACCCAGCAAACGACGTGGAGATAAAAACCAAACCCAACCCTATGCAGCGACACTGAGCTGCGCATTAACTCTGCCGGAGCTGGGAACAAAGGTTTGGAGGCTGGTTTTCGCTTTTTAAAATTTATTTACAAAGCAAAACAGCTCAGCTGAGCGGAGCAAGGATTGGTGGAGAAGCGTGAGCTGCTGGGTGGTTATCGTGCTATACAATCCCATCCCCACCAGTGCTCGCAGCGGGGTGTGCTGGCTCCCTGAGCTCTTGTAGCATTTCCACGTTGGCCGGGAGAGTTTCTGAACATGCGTGTTGGTCTCTGGAGGCTTTAATCAAATCCAGGCTTTACCAGAAATTGCCTCAAAACTTCCAACGAGCTGAGGAAACTGAAAGCAGCCGGAGCGAGGAGGCCCTTGGGCGGGCACTCGGAGATGCTGACTTCGGCGAGGGGTGCGAGGAGGGGGCAGGCGAGGGGCTAGAGCTGGCAGAGCAGCCGAGATGAAAGGTGAGTCTGCTCCCTGCGTGGCAGCTGGGCAGTGTGCAACATACGTACGAGCAACACGTGGGAGGGTGGAGAAAAACCCCGGGGGTTCAACAAAAAAGGGGTCTCAAGGGGGAAAGGAGGTGCAGGAGCAGGGATGCTGCTTGGAGGAGAGGGACAGCCCAGAGGATGCTTTGATTTTTGGAGCGTCGCTCCCCGTCACGTATGGATTCAAGTTCCCGCGGTTTCCCTGCCGTCTTCTCGCTCCATGCAAAATTAGGAGCTGTGCAATTAATGCATCGTTGAAAACTCCCCGCTCTGGGGGAGGGTTTTATTATCCCTCGGTAATTTTCTGTGGGAAATGGGGTTCAGACTGCAGGTACTTTCCCTGTTTGTTGTGAAACTTAATTGCACGCCACGTCCAGCTCTCTCCTGTGGGCAGAAAGGAAAACAAGGCATATTTTTTAACTTCCTTTTCGAAGCTGGGGGTGGGTGAACTTTATGCCTGATCAGAGACGGTTGTGGTCATTCAGGGTTGAATGGCTCAGAGAATGATTGAAATAGAAAGGAAGAAGAAGAAGAAATAATAAATCCACGCTTTCCAGTTAAAGGGCTTGGGTGTTAACGTGGCGTTATGGCAGTAAGGGGGGTTTTACAGCGAAACATTGGGCTGGTTTTCTGTCTGACTCCTAAAACCACTCTGTTAGGGTTAATGTAAAATACTGTAAAATGTTAGTGTCCTGTGCGATGAATCATAAAACTAAAATCACCGGAGAGATGATACGCTGAAGTTGTTATCCCAGGCAGCTGCTCGGGGTTTAATTGGGTCCCTCTGAGGGGAGGGAGGTTTTGGCCACGTGTCCAAGATGTGGTACCTTGACAGCCAAAATCGTTGCATCTTCTTCTCAGCCACTGCTCGTGGGTGCTTTGGGGTTTTGCTGGGGGGAAGCAGCCTGGGCTTGTGTTGAGGAATAAAACCGAAGCCTGCAAAAAAGTCCTTAAACCACCTTCACCCAGATCTCGCGTGGAAATAACAAACCAAGTCTCTTTTAAGGCCCCTGTGATGTCTCGGCGGCGCTGCCGTGTGGCAGGGAGATGTCCTTGTCCTCTCCTTTCTGCCAGGGATGCGCCAGGAGCGTGTTGAACACTCATGTGCATGCTCGGTGATTTTGGAGGGGGGAATTTCTGCAGAATGAGGAATCAATCTTAGAAACCGCAGGAGGGGAAGAGAAGAAAAAAACTTCCTTGCTGCAAAGCTTTCTGGCTGCTTTCAGTGTTTTAGCCTAATTAATGAGGGGGTTGGGGGACGTTGGCTGCATACGGGGCTGCTTGGATGCAAATCCCCGCCGTCCATCTGATGCAGCGTTTAACTTAAAGGATGACGTGTGTAAGGAAGAGGGGAAAATAGCTGGAGGAGAAGCTCACAGCTGGAAAAGAAAAATCCCAGCCCTGGATGCTCCAGCCCTGCTTTGTTCTTAGGGTTACCGAGCTGGGGGCTCAGTTTTGGGCAAGGATGCCTTTACCTTGGGGGGCAAGGAGCTGCTGGCAGCCCTCTCCTCCCCACCTCACCTGCCTTTGGAGGGACCGTCGCTCTCCCAAGGGCATCCCATGGTGCCAAAGGAACCTCACCTCCATCCGTTTTCTCCCTGTCTCTGCAGCCTACCCATGAGCTCGGACTTCCAGCATTACAGTTTCAGGATGCCGAACATCGGGTTCCAAAACCTGCCTCTCAACATATACATCGTGGTTTTCGGCACGGCCATCTTCGTCTTCATCCTCAGTTTGCTCTTCTGTTGCTACTTGATCAGGTAAGAGAATTTTCCCAGGCTGTTTTCAAGAGCCGCCCCGGGTTCAGACCGAGCCTGTCACCAACCCCTCCATCCCCAAAATAGCTTGGCATCACCTTGTCTTTCCGTGATGCGTCTCGTGCCAGACCGATGTGACCCCTGAAGTGGTTTAACTTTCCCTCATCGTCAGAAGAATTTGCTCAGCCTTGTAGTGTGGGACCTAACGTTCATCCCTCATAAAGCCACTGCACGTATGCAGTGAATACTGAGCCCAACACATCTTGGAGCTACCAGTCCCACCAGGCAATTACTTTATTCGCTTTAAAAACAGGAGATGTATTTATATGTATGCTCAAACAGGCATGAAAACATGGTTGGCTTTTCAGAAAGACTGGAAAAGGATGTTTTATGGTTCCTGCTTTCTGCTTAATGTTTCAACACGTTTTCCTCTTTAATGAGTAACTTGTGTACTGCGTGCTTAAGAAATGTTTAATACCTGCTCCGTTTGTTATTGTGCACAAATTGCTCATTCAACAGCGCAGTTTAGAGATTAATGATGCAGAGTTGATTTGTTAATCTGAATGATGGGGGAGCAGGGCGGGAGGGTTAAAGGTTGTTCCAGTTTGGGGCTTGTTTTAATTATTTTATGGGCCATTGGGGAGAGAGTTGGGCTACTAATTGAGAGGAGAAACTTCCTGCTGAAGGGAAAGTGGAGAAAAACACAGTGCCTGGAAATCGAGGTGGCGATGGGGCAAGTTGTGCTGATAACCTGGGCTGTGGGGCTGGCTATACCTCTCCCTGTGGCCGGGAGCAGAGGGCATTGCTCTGCCGAGATCCTGCGTGCCCAGAGCTCTCCTGCCAAGTCGCAGAGGAGCTTTTCCATCCCCTTTTCCTCCCTTCTGGCTTTTTGGATGGCCTCAGCTAGCTGCACATCCATTGCATCCCCTCCCTTTGTCCCCATAAAACATGCATCTGGTCTCTTCTTGCACCACAGAGGTTGTGTCTGGCTGGCTCACAGCAGCCAGTCCCACCAGCATTTCTATCCAGAGGATGTTGAAAGTGTTTTTGTCCTGATTTTTTTAGACTGGGGAAGCAAGATTTTATTGCCATGTTCTAAATATTTGATAATTTCTGCTTATTTTCAACTCTGTGTGAAGCAAAGCCTTGTAAAACTTGGAGGCGAGCCCAAAGCCAGGCTTACCCAGGGGTGATTTAGGCTGCCTGGGCATCATATCTTCACTTCTGCCTGCAATTATGCACAAGAAAAAGTTGTTTAAAGGTGCAGTGTGTGTGTCTAACCTGGCAGACACGGCAGAAACAGATCAAGGGGTCATCCCCAACCAGGTGATTTGTGTCTCAGTGCTCAACGTTAACAAGTTCTGTGCTGGGATATTGTGTCTGTGTCCACTGTTCACATTTTAATTGGGACAGCAGTGGGAGGAGGTTGCAAAAAAAACTGACGACGAGTGTTCAGAAGGGTCAAGGATGTGTTTTGCCCAGATTGAAGCCACATCTATACGACTCACAAAATGCAGAAGTGTTTGGACTTTCAGAGTATTTTCCTGGGCACTGGGTCATGCTGGGTGTGTTCTGCCCCAAATTAAAAATAACAAGTAGTAATGTCTGGAAGATCAAGCCAAAAAATCTTTAAATTTAGAAGTTGGAGGCATGTTGTAAGAGAGGGGGTGAGTAACCACTGAAACATGCCAGCAAGGGAAGTGTCAAGTCCTCTGTCTCTTGATGGCTTTAAATCAAGACGGAGGACCTTTCTGGATGAGATGTTTTGGCTCCCGTTCCCAGGAGTAACGAAGTGCTATTTAACGACCTATGATAGATGGAAGGTTGGATTAGATCACCTAATGATCCCTTTATAGCCCTAAACTCTACAGAGACTCTGTGAATCCTTCTTCAGACCACCGCCCTCAGCTCTGCTATTGGCAAAACAAAGCCAAACAGGAATCCTCCCTCCCCTGTTTTGGAGGGTTTCACCGTGCCACAAGTTTTAGCTGTGCTGATGTACCCCAGGAGCATTCACCTGGTTTGAATTTGCTGGTGTGGGGTAGAAAAGCTCGAGCTTCGACATGGCTTGGAAAGCCTCGTTGGTGGACAGCGGGACGAGGACCACACGCCTGCAGTTGCGGAGCATCCCAAATGATTGTTGTGGGAAGGATTTGCCATGTCCCTCCCCTTCGGTGCCGTTTAACACCAAAACGTTGCTGGTGCCTGTCTGTGCAGCAAACAAATACCCACAGTCCTGTGGAAGGAGGTATACAAAGTAAAATACTGAATTTAAATCAAACTTTTCCCCCTCCCAAACCAACTGCTAAAGCCTGCGTTACCCCACGCGTTCCTGACCCCTTCTGCAATGAGATGTGTGGCTTCAATATGGAATTAACCTCTGGAGGCTGTATAAAAGAGAGGTGTTAATTTAACAAGCAGATGCATCTTGGATCAAACTGTGTCATCACAAAGAAACCGACCCAGGGTGGAGGGACACGGGCAGGGACGGTCCTCTCGGGAGCTCCAGGGCTCCACTAGCACCCGCAGGGGTTATTTTGAGATAACAGCGGCTCGTGGCTTTCCCCAGGCCCTCCTTGGGTGCAGAGGCAACATAGCCCATCCTCTCCCTCTTCTCATGCCTCACAAATCTGCAAATATTTGTCAAATAAGGAGCAGAGCTCATGACACCATCCTCTGGGCCCTGGTTCTCATCACCTGTGCCGTCCTCCTCCCGCATCCCCTGGCTGGGGAGGCACCTGGAGCATGGAAGAGCCAATATCTGGTGTATTTACCCCTCATCACAATGCTGAGGGCAGTAAATAAGGGATGTGCCAGGTAGGAGGGCAATGGGCTGCACTTCACAGCTGTGCCACTGCAGAGTGCGCTGCCCGCTTCGACGGGAGGAAGAACTGACGTTTTTAATCGGGTTGGCTCAAAACAGAGTTTGATAGGAATTTCAGCCAAAAGCAAAGCAAAGATGGTCACTGTCTGTGCACAGCTGAGGTGAATCTCAAGCAAACCACTCCAGTACAAAGCACAGGTCCCACCCTCACGACTGCTGCCTCTGCTTGGAAAAATTTTTTTGAAAAAAAAAAAAAAGCGAAAGAAAAAGGAAATGAAATTTTGCAAGGAGCCATTTGTGTCTGAGCTCTGCTGAATTAGTGAAAGCAAGAACCTCCCGTTGCCTTCAGTCCCTTAAAACGCAGTTCAGAAGGATGCTGAGCCGAGTGACGCCGTGCGTTTCCACGCCTTCGAGTGGCCGGGCACCCTCCCCCTGCCTCAGTGCTGCAGCGTCCCTGCTCGTGCTTCACTGCGGGTTGCACGGGGCTTGTCTCTGCCCAGACTAGGCTCAGATTCTATGGGAAGCGCAGGGTACGTAGCCCTTAAAAAGCCCTTTTTTATAGGGCTGTTTCCTTCTGTCTTCAGACCTGCCAGGATCAAAGGCAGCGGTTGGGTTTGGAGAGCCCAGGGACCCTGGCTGGGCTGGGCAGAGCGAAGCAGTGATGGGGTGAAGAGCCAGCACCCGGTACCTTTCTCCTCCTTTATTGTAAAGGCTCAAATAAGCAGGTCTTGGAGGGAAACCTGCAAAAAGTTGTTTCCTCTACATTTTATTCCCATAGTCATTCGCTTGCTATAGGTGATTCAGAGTCACCCAGAGAAAGGGGGTGCTCCCTTCCCTGCAGGAGGCATGGAAACCTTGGAGAGAGACCACAAAACTGGCAAGAAGTGGTTATTAAATGCAGGGATGGGCGACGGTGTGCGCGCGCTCGGTCTCCAGCCACACACTGGCTTTCAAGACGCTGTGTGGTCTCTTATCTAAACCAACCATCTGCCAGAAATTCCTCCGGAGTCACAGCTTTGGACACGAGATGGATGAAGGCCTCCCTGGGTCCAACGGGGAAGAACACTCGCCAGGACCCGGGGTCTCCTTACAACAGCTGCGCTGGGTCCGACTGGGATCCATCTGGCCCAGGGTCCTGGCTTTGAAAGGGAAGCGTGGAGGAGCACACCACGCTCACACGCTTCGGGACCAGATGTGCTCGTGCTGTTCCCCATAACCTTCAGGGAGGTTAGGTTTTGTTTTGTTTTGGAGTTGGGTTTTTTTTTGGCAAAGTCTCCCTGTAAAGCTCAGCCCCGGCCTGTGGCACTGTCGCGTCCGTGCTCTGACAGCACAGACCTGCATGGACCCGTGGCTGGGTGGTCACTTCTTCCCCATCCCTGGTCCAGGTGCCTCTGTGGCATCCACAGATGCTTGGGCTCATTCTGCAAAACACCTTCCCTACGGTGGCTTTGGCTTGTCACAGAATCACTGGATCATCTCAGCTGGAAAAGCCCTCGCAGCTCCTCCAGTCCAACCATGACCCTCCCCCTGACCGTTCCCAACTCCCCCAGATCCCTCAGCGCTGGCTCAGCCCGACTCTTCAACCCCTCCAGGGATCCCGGGGACTCCCCCCTGCCCTGGGCAGCCCATTCCAACGCCCAACAGCCCCTTCTGCACAGAAATCCTTCCTCAGAGCCAGCCTGACCCTGCCCTGGGCAGCTTGAGGCCATTCCCTCTTGTCCTATTGCTTATTACTTGGGGCCAAAGTTTCACTGGGGTCAGAGCTTCAGTGGCCACTCCGTGCTCAGTAAGACAGATGATTTTTCCTGTGCTGGGGAGGGTTTTTCCCCTTGTACGCGCTCTCCAGCCAAGCATCGTGCTTTGCCCCATCTGTATTTCATAACCGGTTTCCCAGTCGCCCAGATCTCTGTGGATCATGCTGGTTTCATCCTGTTTTCTCTATTGTTTGTGCATCTTCTGCTCGTGTTTCTGCTCGGGGTCGCTGGTGGAGGGATGAGACCCCAGCCTTCTCCTTCCTGCCTGATGCAATTTTATCCGTGGCTCTGCAGGCAGGTTCCCTGCCAGGGCAGTGTTAGAGGAGGAGGGATGGCTCCCCACTATATTCAGGGCTCAGGAGCTGACTTACTGCAACTTTCTCTGCGGCATTACGGTGCATTTTTACCCATTCCTCGACTTTCAAGGCTTGTGATATCTTGGGGGGGGGGGGGGGTTTTGACAGGGATCTATTTTTACATCCTGTTTTTATAACTCACCCACTGCAGCCTTGCAGGACCAGAAAGCCTCTGAGAGATCAGGGTGGAGCAGCCAGGGTTTGAGATGGCCCCCAGAATATTTCTGGAGAAGTGAAATTACAGGCGAGGGGGTTTCCCATCTGAAACCACGCTTGAGGCTGGCTGGGGGAAAATATTCCTAGCCCTGCAGATACACACTGACATCTTATTAAAAGTCCTTGGCCAAGTCTTTAGCCTTGTGACTTTCCCCTTGAGTTTTCAGAGCCGTGTCTTGTAATGAGAAGTAATATTAGTGTTTGTTTGTTTAAAAACATATTTATTTTAGGAGCATGATCAGCTTCTTTGGCCAGCTGATGCCTGCAGAGCACTCTGCCAGGCTGCAGAAAATGGGCTGCTGTTTGTTCTGCTGTGGAAAAAAAGTTTTATTAATAATAGTTTGAACTGAAAACATGTGTTTGTGATTGCTGTTTCGCTTGGTCCCCAGCACTGGGGACAAATGCTCCCACTGGTGCCTCCTGGAGAGGGAGGGGATGGGCTTCTAATTCCAGCTGCTACCCGGCTGGACTTCTCACTGCAGCAGGTGTTTTGGGGAAAGGTTCATCCCCTCTCTCCATCCCTTGATTTGCTCCAGGGATAGATGCTGTTGGGCAAATTAAAAACCACCCGAAAACCCCCAAATTGTGCTGAGCACAGTGCTTCAACAGGCAGGTGGGGGGAAGCATCTTACGGAGTTTATAATCCTGATTTTGCTCCACTGTTGCATCGGCTCTGGCCCTGGCTGATCGTGTGGGCTTGTCACCCCGTGCTTTAACACAGCACACCCACTGCTCTTGTGATTATCAAAAGAAATAATAAAAAATCCCCAAGATACAGGTTCGCTCTGTTGCATTTTTTGGCAGCTTGTTTTCTCTGATTATTAAATTGCCCCCTGTGATAGGAGGTGAGAGATGTTGCTTCTCTTCCAAAGCTTTCTGCTCTGGTGCTGTCTTCAGATAAGTAGCCATCCTTAGCTTGCTCAGCCAGATGGATAACCTCTTCTTGAATGCTTCTTCCCCATGGTTTGGGAGGCAGAAGCAGCACAATTGACCTTATTACTGAAGATAAAGCCGTGTTTGAGGAACCCAACACCGCCCAGGCAGTGACGGGGCCTTCGGTGGGAAACCTCAGAGCAGGGAGGGCTCCTTCCCCATCCCTGAGCTCTCCTCAGGTCTGAATACCCATCGCTGGGAAAAAGAGGCTGTGGCCTGTCTAGAAGTTGTTGGCAGCAGAAGTGGTTGGAAATTGGGGGTATTTGTGGCAGCTCCTGATTTACTCGGCAGCTTTCGCTGGTTTTAACAGTGCAGGTGATGTCTGCGTGGAAAATTAGGGAGGTCAGAAGCGGAGAAAGGGAGGAGGTTGTGTGCTTTTGGATGGAGATGTTGCCTTCCCAGCTACAAGAAAAGCTGGCTGTTGCTTAACTGTGTCATTTTGTGTGGCCGTTCCTGTTTCTGACATGAAACACTGAAAAAAAAAAATTAAATCTGGAAAGGAGGGAAATGAAACGTTTGAGGTATTAGAGTAATCCTGATTTGTTTGCCTCTCTTCACATTTCTCCCTGTTTTGATTGCAGGCTCAGACATCAAGCACACAAAGAGCTTTACGCCTACAAACAGGTGAGATGATGCACAGTAAGTGTCCTGTTCTGCCTAGCACTAAATCCGTGTTGGAGTAGTCACTCCATCAGGTTTCCTTGTGCTGTTCTTCTTGGGAGGCTTTGGATCTTGGAAGAGAACTTGTAAAGCCTGGGCAAACCTCTGTCCTGGCTGATTTATTTTTTTTCTACCAGTCGGGCACCCCGGGAGCATCTCTCCCCCATTAGTCTGCAGGTCTCTGCGTTTTCAGACGAGGTCCCTGAGCAGTGGGGACATCTCCACCCCTGGAACACCTCAGCTGAGCAGCTTCTCCAAACCCTCACCTTATTTCCTGCTGGTGAGCCGTAACGCCCTCCCTTCCCCAGCAATCAAATGATGTTTTCAGGGTCCAAATCTACTCCCTGCATTGAACCTGGTGGCTCCGGCCCACCCGGAGGGCCCCCTCCTAGGGAACACCTCCATGTCACCTTGGCAAACCCGGCCATTTTCTGCACTCACCCACACGTGCTGTGTTAAAATAAACACGGCCAAGAGGTCGGTGTCAGGTTGCTGCTTCAACGTCCCATTTTCTCCGGGGCTTGTGTAATTTTTCTGCTTCCGATCTGTCATTTGAACAGGGTGACAGTTGGGTGGAGCTGGGCTGATGCGCTGCAGTAACACATGGTCAGCCTGGATTTCTAACCCTGGCCAGATGTTTAGCCTGGCTGGAGTGAAAAAGAAGCAGCAGACATCCACACAGGAGCCCAGGAGGTTTAAATTCAGGAGGAGACCTAGATTTGGTCCTGTGTTAGTGGTTATAGCTGTGCCAGCGCTGCCTTCCTCCTGTCTCTGCACAGGGATGAAAATCTGATGCGCTCCGTGGCTGTGCTGGGTTTACTGGGGGTTTCCAGTTCTACTGGGATGCTAAATGAGATCGATATTTATGGAGATTTTTGCTGCAAATGCTCAGGGCAGCAGCTGTATCCTGACCCCAGCGCTCTGTCTTACAGGTTATACTCAAGGAAAAGGTGAAGGAGCTGAACCTACACGAGGTGAGTACATCCCTGGGGTGGCAGCGTAGCAGTAAAGACTCCCTCACCCTCCTCTTCCTCGCTCTGGGGAGGGTGTGGGGGAAGGCAAAGGCTGCACAGGTAGGAGGATGCAAAAACTCACATTTAACTCCTTCAGGAGCAAAACTGCCCGCTCGCTGCCACCGAGCTTTGCTCAGCAGCCTCTTAACCCGTTACAGGGAATGTGGTGGGGGCAGGTTCACGGTTGCACTGGCAGCTCCCTCTCTCCCTGATGCTGCTTTTCTTTCTCAGAGATACTAATTGCTCATTAATGCAGCTTGTAAAATCACATCTGCAAAGGGTCTGGATTAAACCATCTCCCTCCTCCTCCTCCTGGGTCCCCTTTAGATGCATTAGTAGTATTTATTGCATTATTATTATTTACTGCATTATTATTACTTACTGCCTTATTATTAATCACATTACCATTATCGCTGAGATAAGCTGTGGATACAAGGGGAGGCAGAGGCAGGCTGGGCTGTGTATAAACAGTGTCCAGCAACGGTTACGTCCCCTCCAGCCCCGCTCAGCCTCGCCACCGTCAGAGCGTGACGATATCCAGCACATCTCTGCTGGCCGAGTTGCTCGGGCAGAGTAAACTGCTCCGAGATTTAATTGAAATCAGAGATAAACACGCTCCCCAGGCTCCTGCCCCTCCCGCTCTTGCTCCACAGAAAAGAGCTGGCTGGCAGAGGCAGGCAAAGGGGTGTCTGCTTGGATGTATTAAGAATTAAAAATCCTTTTTCTAGACCCCAAAACATGGAGGTTTCTGCTCGGATTCGGGAGGAGGGCAGAGCCCGTGGCAGCCATAAAGCAAAGCCCCGGTGGACTTTGCATTTAAACTTCAGAGGGGGAGTTGCACCAGCGCCTGCCCTGTCCCGACGCGGGCGCAGAAGCGGATCCTCTCTGGATTAACGAGCTAAGAGGAGGCTGAAACACGGCTCAGATTAACGATGTTACCCTAATCCACCTCTACCTACTTGCCCCTTGAGGTTTCAAACACATCAGTTGTTCTCAGCGGGCTGCCAGGCCGTTTTGGGGCCAAGTGTCCCTATTTACAGACCGATTTTTGTGCTGAAGTTGAGCAGGAATCTGCTCGAACTCTGCTTCAAACACGGGCTGGATTTATTTCCCCTAACAACAACAATTCCCACCCGTGTCCCGGACACGGTTCTCTCTTCTATTAAATACCAGCTCCATTTGTTTATAAGCTGCTATGTTCTTTAATTCCCCAAGCAGAGCAACAAAAGCCCGTCCCGGGTTTCCTCCTCACCCTCCGCTCCCCACAGCCGAGGGGCTCCATCCTGAGGACAGGAGAGTGGCGGAGGTCCCTGCTCGAGGCCCCTACTTCTGAGCCACTCATGTTAAACTGACTTGCAGGGGTTATTTTTGCCAGCACACAGACTTAAAAGCACTTCCTGGGGTGAGAAGCTCATTGGAGGAAGGATTTGGGAGCTGGGAATAGCATTGGTGACCCTCTGTCCTCCCCCTCCATCGCCTCCATCCCCAGCTCTCACAGCCCAAACGCGTTCTGGGAGGACGAGGGGGCCATGGGGAAGGGGACAGAGCAGCAGCTCCAGCTCTTCCCTGGGATCTGGGAAAGGCTGGAAAAGATTTTCTCTGTCTCCCTCCAAAATATCCCTTTTTTGGGCATTTGGATTTTGGTATTTACAGTAAGCAGTTCTGGAAAGCAGAGCACGGGGCGGGGGTGTGTGTGTGTGTGTGTATTTTGCAACATCACGGGGCGGCTGCCAGGGCTCACCCGGAGCCTTGCGGAGGGGAAAGTCCCCGCCGAGCTCTTCAGCCCCATGTTTCTGCATTTGGTTTTTCTCTTTTTTTTTTTTTTTTTTTTTTTTTCCACCACGCCGCCTCTCCCTGGCTTTCACAGGGCTCAAGACATCTGTGTGCTCCTCGGGGGCCGACCCGAGCAGCCACACCAGCATTTGCTCAATAAAAAAAGTCTCCAACGAGCTTTGGGTGGCTGGAAAGTATTGACGGGGGCCACGGCCCGGGAAAGCCGGGAGCCTCCCGCAGCGCTTGCCAGCCGCCTGCCTCATCCCGAGGGCTTTTGGCAGCGGGGTTGGCCCTTGTTTCAGACTGCCGGAGACTCCCAGGCTGGGAAAAAGAGTTGGGAATATCCAAAATCCCTGCAAATATCCAAAATGGGTCAGGAAAAACCAGCGGCGGAGGGGAAGGAGATGCAGTGGGTCTCTTGCCTGCTGGGAAAACGGCCACCAACTTCCCAACCTGGGGATAGAGATGCACCCTTTGCCCTTTCCTCTTCCCAGTTAACCCTGCGGATGCAGCTCGGGCCCAGGGACCCAGCAGCAGCGTGGATCCATCCCCCTGCACCCTAAAGCCTCCAGGCACGTCCAAACACATCCCAGCTGGTGGCTACTGCTCGGTGGGGAGCCCTGGGGTCCCCTCTACTGAGGATGGGAGACCCAAGCCTCAGCCTGCGATCCCAAAACCATGACAGCCAAGTCTGGGAAGGCTTTAGTGGGGATTTCATCCCTCCGCCATGCAGAAACCACCCAAATGTTTCTTCCGCAGCACAGGGAGCAAAAAATAAAAGCAGCTTCTTGGTCGAACAGGTTTATAGCAAGAGTGGAGTTTGCTTTCCCTGTGGCCTGGGGAGCAATTTCTCTCCTACCCCCAGTGTATCCTCACAGCATCAGAAGCCAAATTGCCCTTTTTTTTTTTTTAATCCCGAACCAAAGGCAGGGGCCAGGCCAGCGCTGGGGGGAAGATGGAAACTGGCCGAAGGCACTGCTTAGGGGGAGGGGTTTTGGGGGAGGACTATTTTGGCCGGTTCGGAGATACCATCCCCATAGTTTGGGTGTGCAAAATAAAAATGCTTCCTGGCTGCTGACTGCTTCTCACTCTGCCTCCCGCATCTTTCAGATCTGTGCCGTCTGCCTGGAGGAGTTCAAGCCCAAGGACGAGCTGGGGATCTGTCCCTGCAAACATGCCTTCCACAGAAAGTAAGTGTGGGCCACGGGTCACCAAGGCTGGGCTACCCCGAACCCTGCCCAGCGAGCCCCGGGGAGGCTCCTGGCCCAGGGCTCCGGCTGCTGCTGCTCCTGCCCAGGGTTTCTTACACCCCCATTCCAGGGGAAGGAGAGAATTGCAGCCAAAGCCCCTTATGGAGTGAATTGGAGCATCTGGAGCAGCAAAGGTCCAGTCATGAGCTGGCAAAACCTCTTCGCTTTATATATATAGAGACTTTATAGATTCCGATAGGCACATTTTTGTGTGTGTATCTATACATGTACATCTATAAAATCCGTATATATTTATAAAAGAGATACTCAAACCCACTGCAACAAGCACCCCCAGGGAAGCAGTCACGGCCCCAAGGCTCTTGGTGTTCCAGAAGCATTTGCATGTGGCTCTTTGCGGGGCGTGGATAACTTGTAGGTTGCCCTGGGGCAAGTCAGGAGTTGGCTTGGATGATCCTCATGGGTCCCTTCCCACTCCCTCTGGGATTCTATGAAAAATGTATATAAGAAAATTTTATATATGTATTTTATATATCATTTTATATATTATACATATGTAATATATTACTATAAATAATAAATATTACATGCAATATATGGAATATTATATATTGTGTATAATATATATGTGTATAGTGTTTTATATAATATATGTTATATATTATATTGCATATAATATTATTACACACATATATGTGTATTATATATTAAAGATATATTAGATATATGTAACATATAGATAATATAAATATAACTAATATAAATATATCTAATATATGTATTTTATAAAAATGTAAACCGCTGAATTTTGGATGCATAATATATATGTATGATGTGCATATATATGATGAATATATACATTTTACGGATTATATTTGTAAAATGCATATATTCATGTATAACTTTGTGTGTATATATGGATTTTATATATTTTTGTGTATGTGTGGACATTTTTATAGCCTCATTTTACAAATATATCTACATATATTTTAGAAATGTATCTATAAATTATATGAAACATATATAAATTATAGATAAAACATATGTACACAAAAATCCATAGACACACGCGCACAAAAGTCCTAATAAAATACAAAGGCACCTCAGTGGTGAATTTAAAACTTTCGACAGCAGCCAAGCTCCCGGGAGGGTGGCAAGGGCTCAGACCTGGCCTGTAGCCCCCGGGCCACAGCCCGTCACCCTCCAGGGAGGGCCAGGGGTGGCCACCGCCCCCATGGGGTGCGCGGGGTTTATTTCTGCAGCACCCCTGTAATTACCCCCCCCTGTCTGTGTGTGTTTGTCCCCCCAGGTGCCTCATCAAGTGGCTGGAGGTGCGGAAAGTCTGTCCCCTCTGCAACATGCCGGTGCTGCAGCTGGCGCAGCTGCACAGCAAGCAGGACCCCGGCCCCCCCCAGGGCCCCCTCCCCGGCGCCCAGAACATCGTATAGCTCCTCCTCGGCCAGCTCCGCCGCCCCGGGCACTCGGAGACAACCAAAGCACTACGGCACCAGCATGGAGGGGCAGGCGAGGAGGTGGGGGGGCGTCTGCAGCACTTTAGCGGGGGGCACGTCCCCCCCGGCCCACGAGCAGGAGCCCCGTGCCCCAGAGCCCTGCCTCGGCGGAGCCGTGCCGGGGTGAGGGTTCTGACGCTTCAGCCTGGGCTGAGGAGGGGACCCGGGGGGTCCCTCCGCCGGCACCTGCGCGACGTCCTTCTCCCAGCACGGCCTTTGGTCCACCGGGAAGCAGCATGGGGCAGGCCGGAGCGGCAGCAAACCCCCAACAGCCTCCTGTGATGACCCCCTGAACGCTCCCCAGCCCCGCTGCTCCCCTCTCGATGCCCAAAACACAACGTGGTGGGGGGACGACGACCCTGGAGCATCACGGCTGGTTCCTGCCCCGTTTCTCCTCTTTTAACGGGGTGACTTTTGCCTTTGCAATCCCAACCTGGGAAACCGGGTCTTGCCCCACGCCGGGCACCTCCTCAGCACCCGCTGCTCCTCCCAAAGGGCTAAACGGGGTGGGGGAGAGGGAAAAGGGGGGGTTGTGTGGGGGTCTCGTGAGCTTTGGGTACCCCTCAACTCTCCTCGGGGGTGGCTGTCCCCCTCCTCGGTGCCATGGGCTACCTCAGCGGGGCGTTAGTCCCCCGGGAGGGGCAAGATCCTGAACCATCAGCTTCCTCCTCAAAATGGCGGCATGGCCTGGCTGGGGTGGGGTGTGGGAGGGGGCAGGCAAAAATCCTGCCCTTTAGGTTCATCCCATCCCTTCCAGCCTGGCTCTGGGCGGGGGGTTTCTGGGCGAGGGCCACGTGAGCCGGCAGCGTTTGTCCTCACCCAAACCCCCCATCATCGAGCACAAAAGCTGCTGGGGGCAGTGGAGGCAGGGGGGGGGGAGTTGTGCCACCCCCTCACCTCTCTGACCACCTCACGGGGCAAATTCAGGCACAGTAGCAAACGCCCTGGCGTCCCCCTTCATCTTTGCAACTTAGTCCCTTTTTTTTCTTTTTCTTTTTTTTTTTTTTTTTTTTTTTTTCCAAGTGCTGTCTGCTACCAGAATCCCTCGTCTGCAGAGAGTGTTTCCTCAGCACGCCGCCAGCCCTTGCCCAATCCACATCCTGCCTGTGCAGTATCTTGGGGGGGTCCCAACTGCAGCACCCCAGTTTGGGGGCTGTATGCAAGGCAGCATGCAGAGAAAGCAGAGGAGAGTAGAGCATGCGTGGATGGAGAGCTTTCCCCTGGAAACTACAGGAGTCTAGCAATTAATAAACATCAAACAGAACATTACAGAGAAGAAACCAAGTGTATGACTGAAAAAAAAATAATCTTTGGTATAGTTATATGCAGCCAAGTTTTACAACAGAGAGAAAGAAAAGAACAACATGTTATTTCATCCTCAAATTTGCTTTTAGCAGAGCTCAAGGTCAGAGGCTGAGGCGCTCCCAAGGGCACACACTGCCGTCATCTGTACAAAGTGTTGCAGGTTGACATCAGAATCAACCCCAGACACGGGATTTGTGCCTTACCTCGTGTCTCTGGTATACACAGACAACAGGAATAAAGCCTTACTGACAGCACAACAGTATCTGCCAGGCCGCTGTACGTGTCAGAGGAGACATAAGTGGGCTGTGTGGTTTCTACACACTGGGGCTACGACGCTCCTTCCCCTTTACAGACAATTTAAAGCATAATGCGAGCGCGATGCCTTTCGGTTGCGGAACAGAAAACGCTGCAGCTGAACTTTATAAACTCTGAACTGGGTAGACATTCAGCACTCAAAGGAATCTTCTTTTTCTCTTCTGATTAGGTCGCCCACAAACAGTGAATGGATGCTTTAAAGCAAAACATGGGCACAGAGACCCAGGAAGTGCCCCAACTTCGCAGGTCCGACGTACAGGAACTGCACGGAGTCAGGCTGAATCCAGGAGTTCAAGAAGAGCACCGACTGCACCAAAATAACCCTGAAAAGCAGACAGGAATATCTATTAAAAACTGAAACACGCTCATGGCGCACCCACCTGACACGGGAACAATAATATTACACGTACGCTGCAATTTTAACAGCTTAGTAAGGACAGTGGAAAGAAATAACTAGAGGTTCTAACCATAATCTCTGTATTGGAAAGCAGAGTGGCACAGAGCCATCTATACTGTCAACAGTCTTAAAAGAAAGTTCACAAGATGAAACTGGTAGTAAATAATTCTGATATTAGCAAATATAAATGTTTTTTTTCTGACCCTACACTGGGCGCCGCAGTAACTGTGGCTGTAGGATCCTACTGCACAACCTGTATCACCAACAGCAACAGACTCCACACGGCTGTTTCCAGAGCACTCACAGGATTTGCACTCTGCCACAAGGCAAAATAAATTGAAAAAGTAATTTCACCTCATGTTCCAAGAAAAGGGCTTTTAACTGTCCCTTCGACCAGTAGTCCAAAGCATATGCCAGAAGCCTCATCGAGATTGTATTGATCCGAAGGAAATTGCCAACAAACACCACTCGATTAATGTTCTGAAAGTATTAAGGGGAAAAAAAAGGAACATTAAGGCTAAATTCCATTTTCTGCTTGCAACAACGAAAACCCCACCTTAGAGTAAAAAGAGAAAAGTTACAATGCCTTTAAAAATGCCATATGCAGCTTTTCCAATACATTTTCCAGTAATAATTGATGAAAAACAATCAGTTGACAGAAACCATCAGTCGACACTAAAGCAACCAGATCCAGAGAAATTGCATCACCCCCAATGGCTGTTCCCGGGAGCTACAGAGCCTAACTGCCTCGGGGAATGGGGATAGGAACTGCAGAGGGAGGAGTTATAACGCATTTGCAGCATTCTGAATTTAGAATTTTAAAACTGGACCCGGAAGAGCTGATCTGCAGAGACAACACCAAGTTGGCTTGGGATCTGGCAGCAACAAGGAAGGGTTCAAAAGAGCAAGGTGAGGTCAGAAAGGATGCACTGAGATGGTCAGGAATGGCCTTGGGAGGGGCCAGAGACTACACTGAGAGACAACCCACCTGTTGGGACTGCCCCTCGGTGAGTGGGTTCAGTTTTGGGCCCCTCACTCCAAAAAGGCCATTGAATGACTCGAGCGTGGCCAGAGAAGGGCAACGGAGCTGGGGCAGGGTCTGGAGCACAGGTCTGCTGGGGAGCGGCTGGGGGAACTGGGGGGGTTCAGTCTGGAGAAGAGGAGGCTGAGGGGAGACCTCCTGGCCCTC